GTTAATTAAACTTTTTAAATAAACTATTAGCAAATTTAAGAATGGTTATTCATTTGATTTACGTGAATGTAATATCGAAATTGTTTAATTAACAATTAGACCATTTATTTTTTGTTAATTTATATTTTCAATAAAACCTGATCCATTTTTTGGATTTTCGAGACTGGTTTTCCACATTTCAGCAATAGCCTTCAAAGTTTCACCATTGGTTTCGTGTTTTTCTTTCATATCTTTAAAATTATTTTGAACAAATTTTTGATATTTAGTTGTTTTTTTTTCTTTTTTTTCTGTCAATTCTTTTTTAGATTTTTTCTTGTCAAAGTGGATATCCGCTAATCGTTCGATGTTTGTCAGATTTGTTATCACATAATCAGGATCGTAACTAGTCAACTTTTCGATTAAATCCCTTTTATCTTTTGATTTTTTTATAATCTGTTTAAGCTTTGTATTAGGAATTTTACCCATTTCTTAGTTTTTATATAAGAGGGTTTAAGACTATTTATACCGAAATCTGTTTCTTGGCTGATATTTGTTGGTCAAACGATTGAAACTCAAAGACTTGAGAGATATTTACTTAATAAATCTCGTTTTATATGAATTTTAAGTTATATACTTGAAAACTATGATTTTTTTATTTTATTTTTTTACGAAATAATTTTTTAAAATTTTGTTATTTTATTTTTTTATTAAAATTAATAAGATAATTTCTTGTTAAAATAAATATTAAATAAAAATCACCAAAAGATTTTAATAAACTACATTATAACCATTTCTATTTCCTGTTTTCTTATCATGTTCCAATTTGAAATCTATTGCTAACTGTTTTGCTTGTTCGTTAGTTCTTTTTTTATTAATATAAAATGTTTTACTTTTATGTTTGTTATTTTCCCACCATAAAAATCTCCAAGCATTTTTAAATTTATCAAAACCAATTCCATTATATCCTGAAGTATTATTTTTTCGAATATTACAATTTAATTGATTTTCTTTTGATGAAGTTTTTCGAAGATTGTTTTTACGGTTGTCAAGACCATTTCTGTTTATATGATCAATCATTTTGAATTCTGGACAAATCAATCGATGAAGTTGTAGTGTTTTATGTTGATTATCAGTAGTCCAAATATAATATGTATTTCTGCGTTTATAACAAAACCAGGTATAATTCTTCAAGAGATGAAAATTTTCCTTATCAAGTAGGAATGTGATTTTGGGTTTCTGTGTTTTCACTTCTAAATAGATTGTGAAATTGATTTTCACAAGACGGTGCTCGTTCAATTTAAGTCTTGGTTTATCAGGATTCTCATATTTTTCCCAATCTGTAACGATTTCGAAATCTTTAAATTTCTCTTGCCAATTTGACATTTTTTGTTAATAATAAAAATAATACTACAGAATTTAAAGTATTTATATTTTATTTTAAATTGTAATTTTTAATTGCTTCAATAAATCCTTCCCATAAATTGGCAGAATGTTTTCTTCGAAATACAAATTCTTTCAAATGTAATTCTAATTTTTCTTTAGTTCTATCTCTTTTTAAGAT